CTAAAGAGATTGAAAATATTTGTATAAACCAGCCAAATAAAGGGAAAAGAAAAGTAAGGATTTAATTTAAGTAAAGTGTATTAAAGATGAAAATCAAAAAGTGTTTTTCTCGGAAAAAAATATTCAACATAGGTGGGTGAGCTGTTTTGATACTTTCAATGAAGTTTTTGAAAATACAATTGACCCTAGTGATATTATTATCGTTAATAGTAATAAAACGTTTTATTTTTACCGTGCATTAATAAAAAAGAAGTAGATGAAACTTTAAAGAAAAATGAGGGTGAAAAATCAGTAGGACTTGATGATATATCTCAATTGAAGTGTGAAAATATTTAGGAGATTTGAGAGTTTCTTGGTTTACTAATCTCTTTAATATTAATTTGTAAACTAAAAGTATGCCTAAGAAGTATAGGAAGAATATTTTGTTCCCCATCTTTAAAAATAAAGGGCACACACAAGAGTGTACAATTTATAGAGCAATTAAGTTGATTTGTCATTCTTTAAAATTATAGGAGATGGTAATTGAACGTATGTTATGACATGATACAAAGATTTCTCATAAGCAGTTTGGATTTATGTTGTTCAGGTCTACTATGGAAGCTATACATTTATTGAGAGGTTTGATGGAGAAGTACAAGGAAAATAAGGAGGATCTACATATGATTTTTATTGATTTAGAAAAAGCTTATGATAAAATTCCAAGAAAAGTTTTTTGGAGAGTTCTAGAAAAGAGATGTGTTGATGTGACTTATATTCAAGTCATTAAAGACATTTATACTAGAGCTGTTATGTTCGAACAGAAGGGGGATTGACCAAATATTTTGCTATTTCAGTTGGATTACATCAGGGATTGGCTTTAAACTCATATCTTTTTACTTACGTTATTGATGCTCTTTCTGGACATTTACAGGAGGATGTATCTTGGTGTATGCTTTTCACTGATGGCACATTCTTGTGGATAAGTCTAGAGAAAGAGTTCAGGAAAAACTTGAATTATGCAGGTCTACATAAGATTCTGAAGGTCTTCATATAAATAGATCTAAAGATGAATACATAGAATTTAATTTTAGTAATAGTAGCCCTTGTGACAGAGTTGTAACTATGGATGATCAGATTATTAAATGATGTGATTGTTTTAGATATCTTGGGTATATTGTTCAAAGTGAAGGTGATATTGATGAGGATGTTATTAATAGAATTCAATTTGGTTGGTTCAAATGGAGGAATGCATCAGGCTATTTTCTGATAAAAAAGTACTGCTTAGATTTAAAGGAAAATTTTAAAAGATGGTGGTGAGACCTGCCATGCTCTATGGCGTAGAATGTTGGCCTTTAAAAGAGAAGCATAAACCATAGTTAAGTGTTTCTAGGATGAGAATGCTTAGGTGGATGAGTGGCTTGATGCAGAGACAAAATGCAAAATGCAAAATGAATATATTCGTGATAGGGTTGGTGTAGCTCTAGTGGCGGACAATGTTAGAGACAGTCGTCTTAGATGGTTTGGTCACATTAAACGTCGACCATTTGATATTCTTGTTAGGAAAATAAATCTTTTTGATTCCACTTATGTTAAGAAAGGCGGGGATAGATCCAAAAGACTTAGGCGTATTGTATAAAAAATGATATTAATCTGTTGGACTTAAATGAAAATATGTGACTCAATATTACACAATGGAGAAAAAGGATATATGTAGCCGACATCACTTAGTGGGATAAAGACTTGTTTTTGCTGTTAATCAAAATCGTAAAGCAACAAGGAAGAATTAACATAGTAAATGAGGGAACAAAATAGGATCTAAAAAGAATTGTTGACTTTGTAGTAATATTTTGAAGTTATAAATATAATTACCTTAATTAATCCTTAATTGTACCATTAATCACGCACGATTATTATTCCCAACCGACATTCACGTCGTTTTATTTGTTGGTTTCGATTGAATGGATTCTTCAGAGCGTTGAAAACCCTACTCCCTTTCTCGGTTTTGCTAAGCAAGCAGGATCTCGTGACCCTTGCAACAGTGCTGGGGTGAATAGAGGGTGTGCCGTCACTTGAGAGCCGTAGGCTGCGGTTTAGGCTTTGTGAGTGAAATCCATAGGCACTAAACTTTCTTTCATACTATTCTAGATATTTGTTTCCTTCCTTCTGCTTTTGTTTTAATATTTTCCTCGAATCATGTTAATTTTTCATTTTCGATTGTCGTAGCAAGCGTCGAACTTGTGTCAGAAATGTCGAATTTGGTATGTGAGCTTCTGTATAGGTTTTAACACAAAATGAGTGTAGAGGAAGGGAGGATTGAGGTGGTAAGAAGGAAGAAAATAGGCAATATCGTAAAGTCAAATTTATGTCGGGAAACTCGTGTGAGGTATGTTTTGACATTTAAGGCATGTCTTGAGTTAATACACGTTTTGAACCAATTTTCATGAAACCGTAAGTTGCTTAAGGATTTCGGGTTGTTTATACAAGTCGATAAGATCAATGTGAGCATGAGGAAACTCGTCATAAGGTTGCTCCATTAAATCAGATGAAAATTATCTCGTGCTAACTTAAGAAAAATAATTGTCTATTGATTTTCAGGTGATTTTACATTTAACACTAATATAATTAGAATTTATTGTATATTGTGGATGAATATCTGAATTGAATGTATGAATGCAAGCTGATCTATTCTTACGATACTTATGATGTTATTATGCTATGATCATGCTAAGATACATGTGACTATACTTATGATATTAATTACTTGTAGATATTTATTTTCTTATATTCATACATAAAATATATGAAGTGCCTATGAATGTGTGCTTTAAGTATTATGCTCTAAAAATTGTTACAAGAAATGTTATTGGTAGATTATTACATGAGTGATTGCAAGTACACTATGTAGTGATGTGGTATTACCGATTTTTGGTGTTTATGTGACGACAACACTCTAGAAATTGTTGTGATCAGACAATGACAAATCATAGAGAATTGTTGACATTAGGAGGGTTTTTGATAACTACTATATTTGGGGTCTAACCTTTATCAATACTTATTATGACCTTTAGGGCAGGGTGCAACCCTTTATATGATAGAACATGAAAATAGTTGAGGCTTATACATTTATTAGTGACAATGCTATGCTATGATTACATTGCTATGAATGTCATTACTTTAATGCTATGATTATATGACTATGATGACATTGCTATGATTGTGAATATATTTGTGATTATATGTTTATATCTATACATGAATGAAATAACATATATGCTTACATAGCAGTCTTGATTCCTACAATATTTATTTTGTTTTCATATTTTATATGAGTAGACCATGTTGTAATTTATGTGTAGATATGTACTGTTCATTTGAGCATGCACGTTGTTTCTTTTCATTGTATGAAATATTATTTTAACCTTCATTATTTTATTGAGCTCGTTGTTGCTTACTCAACGATGTTGCTTTTTACGAAGGGGCAAGGAGCACTGGGACAGGTTATTAGGTGTGATTTATACAAATTTTGTATTGTATAGTTTTGGGAGTTTGTACAGCTTTTGAGTATGTATGTTATTTATATTGGTTTTAGCTGATCTGTATAGTTTTCATGATTTGAGATTATGATTTTTCACGCTTCTGAGTATGAATATGAATGAATTATGACATGTATTATATCACGAACGTTTGCGGCATTGTAGTTAAGACTTGTTCATCACATAATGAGTTCTGATTATGTAAGTTTGAACAAAGATTGGTGTGAATTAGTCTGGCTGGATCGTTCGTCGCTGTCGCACCTTAGCTGACCCTTTAGTGGGGGCCAGTTGGTGTGTGACAGCCATAGGCCCTAGAGCTTTCACCACACAAAGCTGGATGGAGTACTAACACACCTCACAATCAAGAGCAGATGCGGAAGAAACAATGATGAAGATAACATTTACCATCAATTGCATATTAATGAAGTTTTGATACCAAAAGGATGTGGCTTTAGGGTTGTTTTCATTGTTATTTAGGATCTATCGTTCTTTATTTTTATTTTCCTTGCTAAAGGTGTGGGTAGGAGTGTGGGCTTACATGATCAAGCATGCCTTACAAGTAGCAGCAAGAGCCATAGTTGCAAGCCAGTTGGAACTGAGGATTTTAGGCATGCTTTTACCATGTTTGGCATTTCAAACCAAATCAATTTCAAAATTCTGAAGTTGAAGTTGATGTTTTAATCCTCAAGTTAATGCTTTGAAACGTGCACCAACCACCAAGTCAACTGTACATTAAAAGAAAAATCATTCATTGTATTGATTTAACTATTGCTATCTATTTTTGTGTGCATATAATACGTATGCTTATGCATTCATGCATGGTAATGCATTAATATCGCTCATTCATGCTTGCCATTCGAATATAAATTATGCTAAAACATTTTAACAATATGTTAAAGCATTTGTAAGTACAACAAAACAAAATTGGAGGCCAAAACCTTTGCTACTGTTGAAACAGTCTAGGCTTGGATTCCTAGGGAAGCCCAATGCCGTAACGAAGTCTTAAATTTGATGGTTTTATCATTGGATAAAGAATTTCTTTTTCATTCTTTTAAAGAACACATTTTTTTAGGTGAATTACTTTGTATTTTTTGGCTTTTAGACCAAAATCCTTTTATCGTTCGCCATTTTAGCCTGGGTTTTAATGCAAAACTTGTGTGTAATTTTTTATCAAAATGTTTGTTATTCGGCAATGTGAGCATACATATTTTGTTCTCCGATTTCTCTGTTTTTCAATGTTGTTTCTTTATTTTGAAGTTTTTTTTTTTTTTAATTTTTTAATTTTTAATTTTAATTTGAAGTTAATTTGAAGTTAATAATACATATTGACAAAGCATTGTAAGAAACTGTATTCACCAACCAATGAACATAAATTATGTTGCAAGCTTGTTTTCAATTGAGCGAGTCTCCTTTTTGCATAAACAAGATAATGATGAAAAACCTGTTTACTGATGACTTTTAAGTATGCTTAATGTTCTTTTTATATAGGATGAGAAGTGTGATTAACCATCTAAAAGGAAGCCGGAACTTTCCACGTTTAAGAATAGGTGATTTTAATCATTTTGATTTTGATGAATTGCTTGATGTTTCTATGCGCGATTTTATTTTAGTCCATTGGCTCAAAAGAAAAAATAAATCTAAACTATGTATTTGATATTATTTTTTGGATGTACCTATTGAAATAACGGATTTTTGATATGAATGCACTATTAAAATACTAAATCTGATTAATTCTGGATGTGATTTCTAAAATAATAGATTTGAAATTTGACTACTCAAAGCCTGACTATGGGCACTGCTTTATGTGGCTACAGTGAACATCCACATTCACAGTTTGATTAATCAAATTCGTTGTTTTAGTAATCAATATTCAAAACAACAGTGAGCAAATTCATTATTTTTTGAGCCAACTACAAAAAATTAATAACCAAATTCAAAGTTTGGACTGCATTTTTATGTTTTTTAATTTTGACTTAATGGACTGAAAGTAAATTTGAAGACCATTCAAAAGATCTCAAGTGAAGTTTCTTTTACAATCGATGAGTTCAAAAGAGATGATCTGTTTTTATCTGGAACCTGTGAAGGCATTGGAAGGCCACCGGGAAGGATGGACCCTGCTGTTTTTGTTCTAAAACCCTTCACCAAGAAGGAAAGAGAAGAGGTTCACTCCTAATTTCTGTGCCAAACTTTGGTCATACATAGCACACAATTCTTACGTATATTTACACACACCGCGCTCAAAATCTTTACTATTACATAAAAAATTGTACTATTACCACTTTTTAAAAAGTCAAATACACTTTTTCATGCATAGTTTTAATGCACTAAACTGCTATGCTGGTAAATATGAAAGTTTAGATGTCAAATATCTCAATACATAAGAATTGTGCTATGTATGTATATTTCTCTATAATCTAACTTGGAAGGTTATACAATTTGGATGCAGATGGATTTCACTCTTCAAAGAGGAGTAGAAGCTGTGAGGATTTTATTGCTCCATGGTTTCAATAGAAGTGCTTCTTTTGTTAATGCTCCACAGCCATCAGAACTCCTGAACTAACTATTTTTTTCTTTGTTCCTTTTTATTAAGGCCATCAACTCTTTTTTTTTTTTTTTTGGTGTGTGTGTGTTGTGTATATATATATATATATATATAGTTCAAATGAATTGGTGGTGGCGGAAATGTAACTTAATTTTGGCTCCAATAATTTTGTAAGCATTGATACCGGTATAATTGAGATGTGAGCTGAGCAGATAGAGCGCTTTGTATTTTTTTTTTATAATTTAATTTCTATTTATGAAGCAGTTTGTGTTTAGTTTTAGTGCTGATAATATCATTTATTGAATGGTAAGTCTTTCCGTTTAAATTTTCGTTTTAAAATTAAAGGGGATATTGACTTTATATGCTCATAAAATTTGTAATGGACGGGTGCCTCCATTGTTCGTTTATTTGGAGAAATATGCCCAAAAATTGTCTTCAAGATGAAATTGCTCTTGCTTTGCTTTATCCCCATTCCCAAGTAATTCCTGAAAAATATATTGAGTGATGACGTTTCATTGTTCATTGCTCTTTCTCGTGCTTTGAGAAATTCCATTCTCCATTTTGCTAATTTTGTAATCCTTTTAGTGATATTTCTTGATTTAATGAGATTAGAAGGCCTCATCGCCAAGAAAAAATATTACATCAGTACTACGCACCTAGAAATAACGTGCGCAGCCCAGGAGTAGCCAATGAAATCACGCCACGATATCTCATGCAACAGAAAAAAAACGGCGCAGTAACACGAGGAATATTTCTCATTGTGTTATTCATGTGTTATTCTGTGTTATTCATGTGTTATTGATGTGTTATTGTGTTAAGAATATTCTTAAGACACAATAACACATGAATAACACATAATAACACCTGAATAACACGAGGAATATTCCCGACAGAGAAAAAAATGGTACAGTAACACAGAGAATATTCTCGCCCGTGTTATTCATGTGTTATTGTGTGTTATTCATGTGTTATTATGTCCTGAGAATATTCTTGGTATTATAATAACACAATAACACATGAATAACACATGAATAACACACAATAAGACATGAATAACACGGGGGGAATATTCTCCGTGTTACTGCGCCGTTTTTTTTTTCTCTATCGTGCGGGGTGCGTAATTTCATTGGCTACGCACGTTACTCTACGTGCGTATTACTGATGTAATATTTTTTCCATCGCCAAAGTTGGTTTAGATACATTAGTTTTACACCAACTTGGTCAATCATGGATAGCTCTCTAATTTTTGAATGAAGTACCTTATGATCCAATTGATTTTGTCAAGTTTAAATGATTGATTAGAGCATTATTTGAATCATAAGAATTATATGAATCTTCAAGATAAAATTGCTCTTGCTATGCTTGTTTGAACCTTGGTCGAATCTTGTGTGAACAAGGTTGTATTTTATTAAGACTGCCTGAACATGATTCAAATGCTATTCAAACATGATTTGAGTAATGTTTTATTTAAATCTTAGTTGGCATATTTGAATAATATTTAAACATCTGTTTGAATCATATTCAAATATATAGGTGTAATGTTCAAACAAATATTTAAACAATATTCATGCATGAGTCCAAGAAGGTTTGCACATAATCTTGCTTTTAAATTTTGACGTATTTTTTTGTGAGTTAGGTACTTAATTCGTGTATTATATGGTGGAGAATGAAATAAGATAACCACAATGAGTGTGCATTTATTGTAAAGTGAAGTAAAAGATTTTTTTCAGTAAGAATTTTTAAGATGTTCTTGGCGATTTCATAATCAAAGTTACATAGCATGATGACAATTAATTTAGCTTCAATATAAAAGCAATGAATAATTTTTCCGAGGATGTTTTGGTAGCAAATCCTCGTGTAGTGATTGCAATATTGTGATCTTTTTTTAAAATTGATATATTTAGATTTATTGAATAAAGGTCAACCATTTGTATTTCTATTATTACCAAAAGAATATCATTTATGGACTTAATGCAACCAAGCATGATGCATGTCATTTTTTGTTGATTAATTTAAGAGTTGTGGAATGTATTGCTTGTGGCCATATATGATTTTTACGAATGCAAAGTTATGGATATGCATGATGCAAAGGAAGCTGATGTGGATATACATGATGTAGATGGGGCTCTATGGATGTTTTAATACTCAAACGTTCGTTTTTTAGATTTAATTATAACTAGTAAACAAGTGTGGTCATCTTATTTGTCATGTATAGTGGGGTTAAAAGCAATGGTTTATGACATAAAGAATGAATGTCATCATATTTTCACAACATTTTTGTCCATCAGTAAAATCATCCGAGCATCTGAATTCACTGACAATTTGTACTATCTACCAAACTATAAAGAAAATATAATTAATTAAATAATTTTAACTTTAAACACCTACAATGATATTAGATAACATAAGCCTAAAAGCTTCCCCACTTGAAGGTGCACACCTATCAGCTTGAAAATCATGAAATGATACATGCGAGTTTGCAAGATAAACTCTAAATAGAATCCTACTTGATAACATATAAATGATAATGCATATTGCATAAATATGATTGAAGAAATAGACTTGAGAAAAGTAAAATTTATATAAAATTTACAAATAATAGGTAAAATGCTAAAATATAGAATGAATCTAATAGCTCTTAAAATACAACAGAGTTAGTTCATATAGAATAATCTATATTAACCCCTGATTAGTGTATCCAATTATAAACATTCACTTACATGCATATTACTTATATTTCATAAATGATACATCACTTATATTTTGTTTCTATTATATTCAAGAAAGATAAGCATCAATTCAATAGAAATCACACAAACGCACACACGCACACACTCACACAATTAAGAAAGATAAACATCAATTCTAAAGGGAAGGTGAGTACATCATATGACTTCTACTATAATTTTTGGTGTGTTTACCAACTCCTCCCTAAGAATGTCTAGCATCTATAACTCTTCAAAGTTTTTTGCCATCAACTTCTCTTAGTTGTCTAGTGTTAATGTAATATTACTGAAACTATTTAGTTGTACTATAAATAGTTTCACTAATGATTCTTTTAGGACTTATTTCAACTTTTTAGTTTTGTCTACAATGGGCACATTACTTCCTTTATATGTTCATTCTTTTTTTACTCAACTTACTCCTAGATAGCTTGATCTCTCTCTTGCCAGTTTTACTTCATATGTTTTAAACATATTTGTTGCTCTAAACACATTTGACATCTTGATTGATTCTATTGATGAGAAGCTAATTAAGATTATAAGTTCTTTTTCATCTACTAGGGTTACATAACTCAGTCATCTCCTCTTCTATATTGTAGTAGAGATTTCTCACATTTTAACCCATAAAAATAAGAAAGCTATTACAACCATGAAAGGAAATTCAACCAATCTTACAATATTTATCCTATATTACTCTTAGTTAAATATACTCCATGGTGAGAAACCTAAGCATGCTCGATGGTCCATCAAGCTATTAGATTCTATTGTTTCTAAACCCTATGTGCATTCTCATTTTATTGTATCACATTTTGTTGTACCATCTACTATTGTATATTATGTTGATGTTGTTGTATCTTCTAATATTCAAACATATGAAGTAGGTTGTTTCTTATTTCTCTTAATTTAATTTTGAGTACCCTGTTATCATTTCTCACACTAAGTAGAAAAAAATCACTTCTTAAAATTATTGTTAAACTCAAGTTAGTACTAAAATTATCTTCTTTAAGGTTCCTTAGTTTTCTTTTGGTTTATGTCCTATCTACCATTTTGAATTTACTAAAAACTAATGAGTTAAAGAAGCATTCCAGGAGATCAATTGTTGATATTTATATCAGTTTACTTAAAAAGACTATGACATCTTCGGAGATTAAAAAAATAAGGCACAAATAGATATTGCACTTTTCTTATATAATTCAAAAGATAAGGCATATATGGATACAACTTTTAATCCTCAACTGAGTGTGATTCCAACAACGATATGTTGGATACTAAAAATATATAAGATTTGGATGATTTATATGATGAGTAAATTATTAATTCAAACATCCAAAAAACCTATTTGTTACATATTATAATAATAAGAAGATGAGGCAGAGGAGCTCATTATAGAAGAAAACCTTCTTAAGATCAATCTTAGGAAGCATCTTGTGAAGGAAATCAGAGAGAGCAATTTTATTCCTTTGAGTATCAAAAGCTACAAGCCATTGAGAACACAAATAAATAGAAAAAAGAACTAATTAGAAGCTTTAAGGGTACATCAACCAAATGGGGACTCTTATAGCTACCTTGATATCCCAAATCACTTCACATTTTCCCGTATAACCAGGCTCCACTAGAGTTCTTTCCTTTGAGATTTTATAGTTCAAAATTAGATTTGGACCTTACTTAGCTTTTGTACCTCTTGCATAACTCATATGACAGTCTTATTATTGTAGATACTCAAATAACTTCTACAATATTTATTTAGCTAGTGCTACTTTTGCTACATTACTTTTAGTTTATTCTATGGACTTCGTCCATCCCATTACTATAGAATTTGATAGTATTGGAAATGCTCGACAATTTATAGCTCAATATAAAGCACTTTTTTGTAACATAGGAAACAATGATATGGTTTATTGCTTTGTTTTTTTTACCTCTCTATCCAAATTTATGTTTGATTGGTATCATAATCTACCAAATTAATCCTTCAAGGTCTTTGATGAACTTAAAACATGTTTTTCAAGAGGTTTCTTAGGGTGCATTAGCGAGCAACTATGCAAGACTTAATATTGATCTAGCATAAGTACTCTAAAACACGTGGTTTTCATTTTAAATGGCAAAACCCATCAATGGACTATAAGTTCTCTCTAAAGAAGCATCACATCATTCATTAAATGATGAGAACAATTATATGTTTGTCTTTAGTAGTATTAAAACTATTATTAGTTCACACCTTTGAGAAGTTGTTGATAAAGGAAACTAATTTTCAAAATGAGGCTTTCTCTCCATCCTAAAATAGGATTCCACTATGAATAAAGGATAGAATAAGCCTTCTAAGTAGTATTATGAACGAGAGGTCTTAAGAAAAACACAAAT